AAGAAATGATGAGACTTAACATTCTCAGACCTGTGCCCAAAACTAATTTTGGATTTGCCTTACAACAGAATTGCAAAGCTTTCTGTGTGAGAGAGAAGAAGAAGATGAAATCTGGCCTCGAATCAGTGATGAACTGTTCAGTGAACTATTTCTGAGCTTTATCCTTGAGAAGAGTTCTTTGCTCAGTGTGCATCCCCTTAGACACAGCCTGTGGCACACAGAAGAGCCCGTGGGGCTAACCTATGTCAGATACGATGTCATGAACTGTAACTGCTGCAGGTGAAAGAGGGGTCCATAGCCAGTCTCCGTGGTAACTGGTGGTCACCTGCAGCTCTTTGACGCAGTACTGGATCTGTCCTTATCTGTGCATAGGGCATTCAGTGACGGACATATGTAGCTGTCCTGGCAAAGCCTCATCAAGGTTCATTTTGTAGAGAGCAAGCTTTTTCCTCCTCTGTCTAACAAGGCATTTTCACTTGTATTGAGCTCTGTTCCTCATTTTATTTAGCTTGTATTTGTCATTATTGGGGATAACTTTTATTGTTTGAAACATTTCTTTCTGTTTCGTTACAATCTGCACTGAATTTGCAGACACCCAAATTTGCATCTAGTTTCACTGCTGCCTGTGGTTCTATTTTGGTAGCTTGCTGCTGGCAAGGAGAAGGAAAACCTTTCTGAAAGTCATAAAGTCATGGAAAGCTGTTTGGTAAAGTCATAAAGATTGGATGATGTGCAGGATTTCTAAAAGATCAATTTGCTCTGAAGAGCAATTGTTCTTTGTATCGTGTGCAGTATCAAGAAGCAGGTTTGTTTGAATGTGAGAGTGGGTTCCCTAGCATTCTGATTATCGCTTGTAGCTGCTAAAGCGTTAAACTAAAATGGGTTTGTAATCAGATCCTGTGTATCTGCTCCTTTTGTGGTATCTTGCTATGCATCCTGAAGCTTTGGTCTACTGCTTAAGTGAGGAATGAGTGGTGGTTATCAAGATTACGGAGATGGAGATTAATTCTTGGTTTAAGATTATATCTGGAACTATTGTGCACTATTTGTGAGATTATTCTCCAAACCAGTAGTTCTAACACCCTTTGTGCTGCTCAACTTTGAGATGTTTTGTTTCATGAAAGAGTTGTGAGCAAGACAGATATTTTACTTTTTATTAAAAATAAAACAACGTTCTCCACACTTCTGTAGGGTTTCTGGTAAACGTTTATAACTAAACCTATCTTGTACCACAGTCCTTACGTGACTGTCAAAGGATTTTAAAGTGCTGAAAGTAAGAGGAGAGAGGGATAATCAAGTTTTTTGTGCTCATATGAGGGTGCCTAATATGCTTTAACCTGCTCCTTTCTCCCCCTCTGTAGTTAAGCATCAGCAACATTAAAGCTAGATAGCTGGAAGCAGTTTTATCGCTTTGCAACAGTGCCTGGCCATGTACCGCAAGCGGGACCTTCTGAAGCCAGGGAATGCTTGCAATTGCAGTTCAGATTTTGTTGATGTTCTTTGAACAATCCCTGGTTTCAGCCGGGATAGAGTTAATTTTCTTCATAGAAGCTAGTGTGAGGCTGTGTTTTGGATTGGGGATGGGAAAATGTTGATAACATGCTGATGTTTTGAGTTGTTGCTAAGCAGTCAAGGACTGTCTGGCTTTTGATGGTGGTCTGCTAGCAAGAAGGCTGGGGGTGCATGGGAAGCTGGGAGGGGACACAGTCAGGACAGCTGACCCAGGCTGGACAAAGGGATATCCTATACCATACGACGTCATGCTCAGTATATAAAGCTGGGGCAAAGAAGAAGGAAGGGGTGGGAGGACATTGGGAGTGATGGCGTCTGTCTTCCCAAGAAACCGTTAAAGCGTGATGGAGCCCTTCTTGGAGATGGCTGAACACCTGCCTGCCTATGGGAAGTGGTGAATGAATTCCTTGCTTTGCTCTGCTTGTGTGCGCGGCTTCTGCTTTAAACTGTCTTTATCTCAACCCCTGAGTTTTCTCACTTTTACTCTTCTGATTCTCTCTCCCGTCCCACTGTGGGGGAGTGAGTGAGTGGCTGTGTGGTGCCTAGTTGCTGGCTGGGGTTAAACCACAACAGTTCACTGGGACATCACACCTTGAACCAATCAAGAGTGGTGAGCTAACAAGTGAGAGGGACCTCCTGTTGTCTTCAGTGGTTTTTTTACTTCACAGCTTCCAGAAGGAATGATTGCTACAAAAAAACCTGCACAGCACTTAAGGAGGTGCCTGTAGAGAGTAGAAATCAAACTGGTCACTAGACAAACCATAAGCTTTCAAAGGCTTCTTAAGTTTTTCCTAGAAAAACAAAGGATGTTTTTAGAAATGTGATTTTTTTGCAGATGTTGATGTAGGGACATTCAATGTAAACAGTTCAGGAAACAAGAGAAGAAACATCAGATTCACCTTTAAAAGCTGAAGCAACGTTTTGATAATCTAATAACACACTTACTATATTGTTCTGAGCTTACACTGCTGCGTAGACTTCAGCTATTCAGGAGTATCCGCAAAGTTGTGCTTGTGTACTTGAATGGTTTTAGGTCTAAACTAAAACACATACAAAACAAGATCTTAGACTGAGTATGGTTGTTAATAGATACCTTTGAGCACAGGTTACAGTGTCTTCCCAACTAGTAATAACTGGTTAATTTAAACCCTTTTTTTGCGTACTTTCATTTGGTACATTTTCAAGTGGCGTATGGTGATGTTACCAGTGTAACAATGTTAAGTGCTGTGTTGAAGCACTTTTTCAGTGTTCATCAATATGTTTGATGTAGATAACACATCAATTCTTTGCAAAGTTTTGCAAAGATGTATGTAAGTTTGGCAGTGTAAGGACACTTAAGGCTGTCATGAACACTTTCAGCAAATGCTAATTTTTGTATAAGTTATTTTATCAAAATCCTAATTAATATAGCCAGGGGCAAGCAGATTAGCCTCACCTAGGGGCTGCTTGCAGCTGTTGGATCACTTTCTCCTTTAAGTCTTGCTAAGTAGTGTCCAGGATACTAGAAGGTGGGTTTTGTTCCAGTGAGGTCTGCGACTGCTTAATGCCCATTTCAGCGCCCATCCACTGTGAGCAAAGGACAGGACTGCTGCTTTTATAGGCGCAAATCTTTGTTTTCTTGTTGATGTAAGTTTTGATGTAATGGAAGTTATATAAGTACAGGATCATCAGTTAGGCAAATCTGAAATGTCAGCTAAATGTCTTGAAAACGTACAAGGACAGGTACAGAAGTACACTGCAGTTCGTATGTTTAACAGTCGTGCCCATATTTTCACATGGTCAATAACTTGCATGTGCTCGAGGTGCCTTTTTGATGCCCAGCATGACTGCAGAAGGTATACCTATACAGTAAGCGTAAAGAATGGAAGTGATACAAAAATTGCTATTTCTGTAAATACTATGTATCTGATCGTTGTGTACAAAAAGTGGAAGGTTCTAGTGTAAGTGAAGTGCGAGGTTTTGGACAAAACAGAGTAAGAGCAACGCGTTGAACATTATATATACATATGATACTCAATGTGCATATACCGACTATGTGAATATACTCAATGTACATACACATTGAGTATAGATGCTGAGAATTTACCCTTTGTATGATGTAGTGTCATTAAATTTTGATGTTACTGGGTTAGATGTTTTGCTAAAGATGTTCAAGAATATAACAATTTTTGTATGCCCTGAATTTGTTGGATATTAAATCACTTCCAGGAAAAGAAGTGGATAGAACTCTGGGAGGGGACACAGTAGCTCTGACCTTGTTCTTGACCTGGCTACTGGTTAATCTCAGACAATTAGCTTTATCTGTCTCTCTTTTTTCACCTGTTGAACACAGATGATTACTAACTTAGACCCCTTATAACAAAATAGTTTGAAATCTCCTGATAGGAATAACAGGTAATTCTTACCTAGTTTTATTATTTAGTGAAACATCTTTACTGGGTGCTGGTAACAATGAGATATAATTTCAGTTACTCCCAGATAAAAACATATCCTTAACGATGCCTTTTATTCCCCTCCAGCCCCCAAAGCTACTTCTGTTTCAGTATCTCTGACTTGTTTTTAAGTCTCAAGACCCTTGAGACTGAGCGGGCATTTTCACTTCATTGAGCAAACAGATACAAGATCATTTCTCTTGGGAAGAGACAGACCATTGTCTCTCCTCCCTTCTATATTCCCTTATTCTTAAATGCCAGAGATAATGATCCCAGAAAGGTAGATGACAATCAGTATTTTTGTGGGCAATGCTCTTTACTAGCCATTTGGACTTTGAAAAAACTCCGGATTAAAGAACAGCTACAGGCCACTACACAATGCTGAGAAGATACAGAGAAGGTAGCAGTCCTCCTTGGACCACTGCAGTGCCATGGAGTACAACCTGGCACTCCCAGCTGATAAACGGCTGGCTTTCTCCTTGCACTCCCAGGAGGAGAGATTTTTGGGAACTCCAGAAGAGAACCTGACCTCACAGTTGCTTATCTCCAATCCCAAGGGAAGGAGGTGATTGCCAATGGCATTTCTTTGAGACTGTAGTTGCTGTCAATGTCACTGCCCTCTTAATTTGTAGATGCAAATGTGCTTCAGTAACTTCAAAAGCTTTCATTGTAGAGGAAACGCCAACAACCCTGGCTTGAATAATTTTTCGTGCTTCCTTTTGTTTTGCTGTGGTAGTGAGTATGAAAAGCAGGCATAAGAATCATGGATTTGCTGCGAGAATAACTTCAGAAATTTGTTGGTATTAGCAACAGTGGTATGTGTTATATGACATGAAGGGAGAATCCCAATTCAAATCTTGCTGTTAAACAAGTGACAAAGACCTCACAAATGGTATGAGACTCTAGGCCAACTCTGGTTACATTAATAATAAATCAGACCTGGTCTATGAAGTTTTGTTATATGCAATAGCATACACATAGGAAGATTTTTTTACCAATTGTCATTTTTTTAAATGTAATTTAGTTAACTGTAATAATTTTTTCTTTTTTTCCCAGCATTTACTAAATGCTGTCAAGAAACTGGTCTTCTTATGGTGGTGAAGTGTCGGCAAGAGAACACAGCACTGAAAGACTGTCTGGTTGGCTAGTAAGTCCCTCATGAGTTTTTGGGTTTTTTTGTTGTGTGCCCTATACTGATCTAAAAAATGAGTAGAACTCTTAAATCTTCTCAGAAGGGTTTTGCAAGGTTAGTGACATTGATGTATTTTCTTAAAATTATATCCTTGCTTTAGAAAAAAATGTGCTGGTCGGGGCCCTAGCTGACAAATTTTATTTCCTTAATAACGCTGTCCTATGGCAATGAAGATTCTGTTCTTGATTTAAATGGTTTTAGCCCAGACAACGTATAGCTCTATATTAACTATGTTGAATTACATATGTGGGGATGGGAGCGAGCAGTAGAAGTGCCATCATACCCTGCTAGTGAGACAGGGTGAGTTGGTTTTGATTTTGTTTCTTGAACTGTTTTTTTAAGATTTAGTCTTTGTCCTGAAAGTGTCCTGCTGTTGTGAACAGCAATAGCAGCAGCAGTGGGACATTGTTAGATATTAGAGAGGTCAACCTGACGCTGTGTTGGATTGAAACGTCTCCTTTGGAAGTCCTAATTTATCCCCAGTGCCATCAGGCTGAAGTGTTAAATTCTTCAGTTTCCCAGGATAAGGGTTGGGGAATTTTTGTGTTTAACTGGGTAGAGAAGGGGGATGGTTTGGTTTTTTGCCTGTTAAACCAGAGATTAAGATTCAACGCCTTTAAACTAGTGACAATTATTCTCAGGTATTTGGGAACTGATGAAAAAAAATGTGCAGCCAGGCAAGAGTTCAGGCCTGACTGCAGTGAGAATTTGCTGGAGTTACTCAGTTTTATTTGTCTGTACCTCCATGCATCAAATTTTGCCTTTGTAAAAAACAAAACAAAACACCACCACCCAAACAAAATATACACTACTAAAAAAAAAAAAAGTGTAGTACTTGAATAATTATAATTAAAATCAAAATTATGAGAAAAATGGATTGAATTTAATGATCATGGACCTACATGTTTACTGTTCAAGACATACACTTGAGTCTGTTCCCCATGGTCGCTTGTGTGCATAAATGTAAGTGTACTCCAGCAGCTTCCCATGCTGAGGAAGCTAACTGCACACAGTAACAACACAGCTGAACTGAAATACCAAATGTCTTTCGCTTTTTCTACCTTTCCCTCTTCATGCTTTCACTGTAGAGGCTTGGAAAGGCCTGTGCCTCAAGAGAGAGCAATATCATGCAGACAAACTCAGTATTTAGAGTTTACAATGAAAGATAACTTTAATCCTTATGTATGTTATACAAAAGGTATTTTATTATTGAAGGCAGGCAAATTTTCTTTGGATGTGAAAGGAAGATCAGTTATGAGAGTTATTCACACATCTATTCCGTAGTCCAAGATGAAAAATGGTATTATGTCTTTGTCTTGTAGCTATTCTGATCCATTATTCTATGAAGAATGCAAAACAGAATATTTGAAGCAAAGAGAAGAATACAGAGCGACTGGAATTAAGAAAAAAAGACAGAAGTTTACTTCAAATGTGTAGTTAAAACTTAAAATGAACTTTTCAAATTTTATATCCAACTTTGATTTGAGTTGATTTAAACAGACTTAAATCACCTGTACCCCTCTGTGTGGAATTTAACTGAAATACACAAAATGAGATGAATGGAGAAATGGAGAATAAAATAATCTCGGAATTTAAAAGTAATTTTTTTTTTCTGTAATTAAAGGTGTAAAGCATGCTGTCACAGTTTGCAAGAGAATAATTCAAGTTGTATTAAAAGATCATGAATTTGGTTTTACGTTAAAATTGGTGTGTTTTTCATCTGAAGCTGAGGGTGTATGGAGACGCCCTTGATGCTCTTACTAGCAGAGAATGGTGGCAAATGCAGAAGAGAACAGCTTCTTGGACCAATTTCATGTATCTTTTTCATGAAAATGTCAAGTCATATGAGAGCCTGCTAGTACTCTTTTCCTACAATGTGACTCATTTTTAAGTAAGTCTGCGTTGTCAGAAGAGATGGATTGTCCATGCCCGTGCGGGGCCCAGACTGACCCTTGCGACTCCAGAGGAGAAAGTCACCTGAGCTAGACCTTGACTGGGAGAAGGCATGCTGAAGGCAATGTCATTGAGAGCAGTGTCTTCCCTGCTTTCCTCTTTCAGAATGAAGATGATTGTATAAGCTTCCACACTTCGGGAGTGACCAAGTAAGTGACCCCACTTGCAAAATTGTTACAGGTGGAGGTGAGTAAGTGCTCAACTATGGAATTGTATGTAAGATGCAGGTCACTTCTTGCAGAAACTAAGTGTAAGCAAGTCTCTATTTAAAAAGGGGTGTGCAAGGGATCTTTTGTATACTGGTACTTGAAGCTGCTTAATTGTTGAATGCTTAAATGCATAAATGGCTTCACTGGAGACAGTCGGTAAAACTTCACTGTTTGGGGGTATCTTGTGCAATGTTTTGAAAGAAAAACATTCTTTACAAGAAAGGAAAGGCTGCACTTAGAACTCACATGGTAACTTTGATGCCCTGATTTCACAAAAAAGAGATTTTTTCTTAAGTAGTAGGATTTGTTATTTTTCCATCAGAACCTGCAAAATTTTACTTATTTTAGTACTGTTTCACCACAAAACCAGTACTGCTCTAAAGCTATTCAAGTAGGAAATTAAAATCAGACTTGGAGACATGTGTATGTGAAGTACTTCAGTTAATGTTGCAGGTCAGTCCTTGCCCCTTATTCTGTGCCTTTTACTGGATTAATCAATAATAATGTTGCTTTTGCTATAACACAGCAGATTGGTTGGAGAACAAGGGAATACCTGTAGATGAAAAACTGAAATGATGTGTTAAGTTTGCCTAACAAGGCAGAATGCAAGTGGCACTAAAACTAACCACCTTAAAATAGCTTCTGTGGACTAAAATTTCCTACACATGTACTTGCTCTTGTAACAAAAAACCAAAAAAAAATTCTAAATAGGTTAGTGGAAAATTAGTTGTTTCTCTGTATGTATTTAAGAAGAGAAAACTTAAGGTAGATGGTGAAATGTTTTTCATGACAGCAACTGTTCTGTTATCCCACTATGAAAATCTGCTACATTTTCAACCTCTGGAAAGCAAGCCTGGGTGTTTTTAATTTTTTTCAGAAGCAGTTCCAAAGGGGATTTGGGGCTGGAGTGAGCATTCTCTCAGAGGCAAGTATGGTGTGCTGCCAGTGGTACGTGCCTGCACTGAGGGCTCACCTGGGTCTTACTCAGGTTCACACCACAGCTGGGGAATACAGACAACAGCACCAGTGGTGGGTTTCTGCCTTTCTGGTTCA